GCCACCATGCATGGCTGCAAAGGGGATTGTGATACAAATCTTGGTAAGACCCACGGACTAATTAATATCTCTACTGATGTGACATTATCAGGCATGGAAAAGAACCTAAAGTAACCAATGGCATTGAGGAAAGCAGACCTTATTTTCCTATCAGAGGAATAAATGAGGGGTTGAAATGCATTATAGCCACTCCATTGCATTTCTTCTTCGTGTGTGTGTGTGTGTGTGTGTGATGCAAATGTAGAAGCTGTGTGTGGAGGCCAGAGTATACAGGGCCTTCTCTTTGCACTCACCTTCCCACACTCTCTCATCCCCCTAGAGCCTGGCAATCCCTCTCCTCCCTAGAGGTCCCATTCCCACATTCAAGCCATTTATTTTTGGTTTTGATCACCCACTGACTCTAACCAGGACCATCTGTGTGGGCATGGGTTGGAGCCTAGAACACAACCAAAGACAATGACTGTGTTTCCCTCAGAATCCACCAGTTGCTCATAGTTCAGCAGGGAGGGGTAGACCCCATGAGCCCTTCAGACCCATGACTGGCTGTTGGCAGGCCCAGGCTTGGGCAGACACAGTGCAGGCGGCACAGCTGCTGTAAGATCATGTTGGAGATGACTGTTCATGCTCGGATGATGGTGCTTTGTATCCCTTCTCCCTATCTTCCGGCTCTTACATCCCTTCTGCTCCTTTTCTGCTGTTTCCTGGAGCTTAGACAGAATGGTATAAATGTCTTGTTTAGGGCATCCTCATTTTCTTTTAGTTAAAGTCTCTCACTGAACCTGGAGCCCACTGGTTCAGCTAGGCGATCAGTCCATGAGCTTCATAGATCTGTCTCCACTCCCCAGAGCGGAGGTTACAGGCCCATGCCACCCTACCCAGGTTTTACATGGGTGCCAGGGATCCAGACAGAGATCTGTCCTATTAAACCCTCTTATTTGCTTACGTTTTAAGCTGCTGTTCCCTGAGAAGTGAGTTGGCTCTACTGAGAGCTCGACTGCCACCAGAGGAAAACAAGATACTGTGAAATATTCTCCACACAGCTTCTGCTGTGCCCCGAACTCTCAGCAAGGTCTGGGCCTGCAAGCTCACAACTCTTGTGCAGGACCTCACTCTCCTGACTGCATGGTATATTGCTGAGACTGCAAAACCAGCAGGGACTCTCAACAGTCAGCTGGGTAAGGGTGTGAAGAATTTTCATGTGGTGCACTTACATATATGCAAGCAAAACACTTATACACACAAATAAAAATAAAATTAAAAATCGTATTGGAAGGTTTTGGCTGATTGAGCCACCAATAATTATAATGGGGAGCCAGGCATGAAGATGCATACCTTTAATCCCAGCACTCAGGAGGCAGAGGCAGGTGGACCTCTGTGAGACTGAGGATGGTCTGGTCTACATAGTGAATTCCAGGCCAGCTGGGGCTACAGGGAGACCTTATCTCAAAAAGACCAAATAAATAAATAAATAAATATATATACATAACTTTCAGAGGCTGGAGAGACCGTTTAAAAGTTAAGGAGTGCTTTCTACTCTTCCAGAGGACCAGAGCTCCGTTCCCAGCAATCATGTCAGGTGACTCGCAACTGCCTGTAACTCTAGCTCCAGGAGATCTGATCCCCTCTTCTGGTCTCCATGGGTACCCACACACACAGACACATAAATAAAAATAAACCTTTAGTCAGGCATTGTGGCACACACCTGTGATCAAAGCAATTGGAAAGCTGAAGCAGGAGGCTACGAACTGGAAGGCAGCCTGAGCTCAAAGCTAGCATTGAGTGTACACACAGAAACTTTGTCTCAAAAAAACTTTTTACAATTACAAGATTATCATTGTTACTAATACTCTAAAAAACAGAAACTATAAATGAACACAATCCCAAATATCTGGATTCTGAGGCAGAACTCATAGTAGTGGAAGTTCACAGTATGTTATTTCAAGTCTTCCATGAATAACTTTCAAGCTCTTTGTCACTGAGTTACAGTAGCAGGTGTACCCAAAATGTACCATGAATGCTGACTTAAAATTTACTCCCCATGCCACAAGCAGCACAGAACAGCATGTGAGTAGTCAGTCAGCAAACTGGAGATAAGATGTGCCGCCCTCTAGTGACTTCAACAGTACACTCAATAGTAAGCCGCTCACAAGTGCTTTCACATTATTGGAGAATTCAAATCTCCAGTTCCCCTGTTAGTGATCAAGCCCTGTAACACCAAGAGCAAAACCAGAACCTACTGGTCAAGTCAAGAGCAAACTGGTGCATGGATCTTAGAAACATATCTGATGATGGTTTAATGATGAATTCCAAGTGGTTAAAGAAATGCCAACACAGAACATAGTAAAAATTGAATCACAGAATGTTAGTTACATCTTGGAGGAATACATGCCTTAAAACCTAGTTAAGGCTGGAGAGATGGCTCAGCGGTTAAGAGCACTGACTGCTCTTGCAGAGGACCCAGGTTCGATTCAAAGCACTCACATGGCGGCTATAAGCCGTTCTTAATTTCAGTTCCAGGGGAATCCGAAGCCCTCTTCTGACGTCTGTGGCATTGCACACGACACGGGTGCACTCACATACATGCAGACAACACTCATACACATAAAAAAAAAAAATCTAGCTCAATCAGTGCACGCCTTTGATCCCAGTACTCAGGAGGCAGAGGCAGGCAGATCTCCGTGAGTTCAAGGCCAGGTGGGGCTACAGGGAGATCCTGTCTCAAAAAGAAAAAAACTAGTTCAATCCTGCCTAATTCAAAGCCATTTCCTCATTAAAGGAAGAAGGGAAGGGCTGAAATACATTATAGACTATTATATTTCTTTTTCAAGCGTGTGTATGTGCATGCGTGCATGCGTGTGTACACACTTGTGTGGGCACCTGTGTATGGAGGCCAGAGGCTGTCAGGTAGCTTCCTCAGTCATTCTCTACCTTAGTTTTTGAGTCTCTTACTAAATCAGGAGCTCATGGACTCAGGTAAGTTAGCTGCCTGGGGAGCTCCAGGGAGCCAGCTGCCTCCACCTCTCCAGAGCTGAGTCCAGGTGCCACACCCAGCTTCTGTGTGGGTGCTGGGAATCCAAACTCAGGTCCCCATGCTTGTGTGTCAGGCACTTAACTAAGCCATCTCCTCAACCTCCCTCAAGCCCATTTTTAATGCACAAGTTATTATAATAAAATCTGCTTTCAGTATGCTTTCAAAACACAAAATAAGGGATAAGTGTGTAGTTCAGTTGATAGAGTCCTGGCCTAGGATGTGGAGGTTCCTCCACCCCACCACTAGCACCACAGAAACTGAGCATGGTGCTACACAACCACACCTGTGATTCCAGCAGGTGGGAGGTAGGGGCAGGAGGACCAGAGTTTCTGGGCCATCTCTGGCTACACAGTAAGTTCAGACCCTGTGTCAGAAAAAAAAAAGATAATGGGAACTTGCGCTATAGCTCAGTGGTAGAATGCTTTCCTAGCAGAGGTAGCGTGCCTTAATAAACACATTGCTACCTAAAAAGAAGCATGCTAAACTATTGTAAATAGGCTACAGTCATTGTGCTAAGAGGATTTAACAGTCTTAACAGTGTTAAGTTGGCATATAACTTTTCTACAGATAGTGTAAATGTACAATTTAGCACAGTCCCTGTTTAAACCCTAATTCTAAATTAGTACTAAAGGTTTTGCTGTGGTCCCACTGTAGTCAGTAAAATGCGGCATGTGCTCCCCAAAGCCGAGATGACTGTGAGCATGAATCAGCTATGAGCACTTCGCAGGTGTCTACCTGGAAAAAGGCTCTGCAGCAGCATTAGTTCTGAATGACATGGCTGTCTATTAGCCTCCTCGCAACAAGAAGTTACAAGTAGATGAATATACCTACATATAAGCACAACATATAATAAAATACAACTTCTTTAATGACCAAGCTGAAAAAAAATGTGAGACTGGAATATGCTGAATTGGTTAAGTGTCCTAGACTGCTTCATATTGTCAACTGACAGGCTCCAGAATCACCTAGGAAACGAACCTCGAGGAATATCTCCGAGGGAGTCTTTAGACTGGGTTAAATAGGCGGGAAGATGCACCAGAAGTATTAGCAGCACCATTCCATGCAGTTCAAATCAAAGACACAGGAAAGAAATGAGTGGACACCAGCATTCAGCTCTCCGCTTCCTGACTAAACTGCATTGTGATCAGGTTCCTTGGGCTACTGCTGCACCCCCTTTCCCTTCAGAATGGACTGCACTCTCCAAATGTGACTGAAATGGACAGCCGGCTCAGCGGTTCAGAGCAGCGGCTGCTCCAGCCAGTGAAGACACCCAGTCTTGAAAGAAAGAAAAGGTGGACGCCGAGGAATGACAGCTGACGCTGTCCTCTGGCCTCCATATGCATGCACACACATGTGCACCCACACACGTGCACACACACGCACACACTCACACACACATGCCCTTGTTTCTGAGTAGGGTCGCTCCCATTTTTATATTATCACTTTGTTTTGCTCCCTTCACTGATGTAACTGGGATTTTTTTTTTTCACCTAGAATGTATTTTTTAAACAATTTATTTTCTAAGTATGACTGTTTTGCATACATGTATGTAAGTGCACCCATGTCATGTAATGTCCAAAGAGGACAGAAGAGGGGATCAGATACCCTGGCACTGGAGACAGGGATACTTGTTAGCCTCTACGTGGATGCTGGAAACCAAATCTGGGTCCTCTGGAAGACCAACCAGTGCTCTTAAATGAGCCATCTCTGCAGCCCCTTAGAGTGTATTTTTAATATAAATTCACAAAGCAGTTATTTAATGATAACTACTTAATTGCACATTTCAATGGCATTAAATATACTTGAAAAACAAAGGAAAAACAGTAAATACAGCAGAACACTTTTCCCCTTAGACATTTCATAAAACATTTTTAACTTAGTACATAAGAAGATAACTAAGCAAATTACTTCAAAAACACAAAACAAAAAACCATGAGTTTCATAAAACTATACGAAATATCCATCTTACCAGTATCATTTGCAAGAGAATTGGGGTCAGAGCCCCCAAGCGTAGCTTCAAACTCCTCTTGGAGACGATATGCTCTTTGCAGCAGAGCTTCAAGTTTATGGATGAATTCAGTACTAATAATATCCTACAGACACAGAAAAAGTACACACAGCAACTATTACACTCTAATGTCAAAATTCTGAACATAAAAAAGTTACTTTTAAAGAGAGGGCCATGAAAATCACTTAGCGAATAGAAAGGTGCCACATAGATGTTGTGAGGACTGGATTCTAGCTGTGCCTTTGACACAGTTATATCCATTTCTTATCTGTCAAAGTAAGGTAGGGCAAATCAGAGGTTCTCAAAGTCCTCTGTCAGGAGCACCACTATCACCTGAGACCTTACTAGAAATGCAATTTCAGGGCTGGAGACATGGTTCAGCAGTTAGAGTACTGGCTGCTCTTGCAGAGGATGGGGGTTTGGTTCCCAGCACCCACATGGTGGCTCACAATGATCAGTAACTCCAGCTCCAGGTGATCTGACACACCCTCTTCTGGGCCCCGTGGGCACCTGCACACATGTGGCACATACACACACCCATAAATTTAAAGATAGGTATATATACAGAAATGAAATTCTTATATGTGGTTACCCACATCTGTAATCTCAGCACTTGGGAGGCAAAGGCAGGAGGATTCCTCCAAGTCTGAGGCCAGCTTGATCTACAAAGCAAGTCCTAGGCTAGCCAGGACTTCATAGTGAGACCTTATCTGGAAAGAAAAAAAAACAGAAAAAGAAAGCAATTCTCATGATCCACTCCAATCCTACTGAATTAGAAACCCAAGGCAAGGGTCTCAAGATGTAATTTAGCAGACTCTCTAAGTGATTCTTACAAATGTTTGTCTGAAAACTACCAGTCTACTAAATGATCAAAAAGGACACAGTTCTACCTCTGTGTACAAAAACAGTAACAATTAAATCCTAAAGCACAAAACAGACTTTTCAAAAAAGCCTTTGAATCATATTCTCTGCTTTTACATAGTACAGGAAATCCAGGACTTGAGAATTTGAATAGAAAAAGTCCAGTAAGACGTATCGCATAGCCAAGAGCAGAGAAATAAACAGCTTCTATTAACTGCCACACAAAGTGTACTGCATTATGATTAAAAGTTTGGTCCTTCCAGTGTTCTGAAGCCCAGTCTTTGAAGATCCCTCTTACATCTACACTTTCTTCAGCAATGGCATCTCCAGCTCCCAGTTTGATGGAGCTACAGGCTTCGTCTTCAGCCTGCCTACTGCGAAAAGTCAGGGCTTGCTCCCAGCGACGCAATGCCTCTTCAAACAGTTCCATACCTAAAAATTAAGAGCAGAATGATTGTGGATGAGCAAAACCAATACCACAATAAACATATCTGAGCTCTGAAATGTTATCACAGTGGCATACTCTAACAGGAATTTCATATTTATATTTTATAGAAGTCTTAATTTCTTGGTATAAGCTGAGCCTACAGTTCTATAACCAAATCAGAAATGGCTTTCATTTCTTTTAAATAATGTAACTCAAATGTATAATGATGCTCAGAATTTTTCTAGATCATCATTTATTCATCATTATTAAAAGTTATTTTTCTTTTTGAGACAGGTCTTCTTGTAGTCCAGGCTGGCCTGGAACTCGCTATGTAGACCACAGTGGTCTCAAACTCACACAGATCTGCCTGCCTCTGACTCCCAAGTGCTGGAATTAGAGGCATGTACCACCATGCCCAGCTTAAAGTTTATTTTTTATAGTCATACAATTGTTTCAAAATAGCTCCCTAAATTAAAAAGAAAACTGGTAGGCAGATAGAAAACAAACTGTTAAGAACTTACCAGGCTTAAAAACATATATTTTATTTATTATTTTTATTTTATATGTATGCGTGTATTGCCTGCATGTAAGTAAGTGCACCCGTGTAATGCAATGCCTGCAGAGGACAGAAGAGACTGTCGGATCCCCTGGAACTGGAGTTATGGACAGTTGTTAGCTG